GAGGAATTACACACTTAGATTGTACAGAGCCAGTAGTTGAGATTCCTCTCACCTCGAGAGCACTTAACAATGACTCTCACTGTCTGATCTGAAGACAGCAATACCATGATAATTTAATGTAACATCTAGTCAGACAATCTTGATACATCCACCTTGAAACAATACAGTCAGAAAAATTCACTTGGCTATCTTTTTCCTACTCTTTAGAAAAATGTGATCCAATCGCAATAGTGAACTCAATAGAGCAGACAACTATCAGCCATCCAAGGTATAATTAGTAGCCTTTGACTTGCCTTTGACTTGCTGACTTAGTTTTCCTGGAAGATAATTTACATGTGGAACATCTGAATTGCAAGCTGGCATTTAACAACACAAATAACTGTTGCCTAAAAGTCCTTGTTGTACAAGATGCTCTTCCTTCTTTCTCTGTCAAGATCAGCTGCTCTTAAAGATATCTGTAATACTTGAACTACGTTTGCCCATAAGGTGCACTTAATATGATATTGTGGAGCCATAACTTGCCATGAGCCTCAAGGTAGATTAGTCTTGGTATGGAGAGCACTGTTTTCTGAGTCCTAACTCCTGGAGTTGAAATAAATTTGGTTTGCTTGTTCTTACCAAAGAAATGCATTGCCTGTGTGGCTGTATTATATTAGGATATAATATAAGATATATATATATATCTTATATATATGTATATTATATATATATCTTATATACAGGGCATATAATATATACTAGAATATTAGGGATCCAAGAACTACTGAATTAGAAGACCAGATGCCAAAGCCAGTTTCAAGAACCAGTTCTGAATGTTTAGTAGCAGTGACTGTGTTGATCCAGTGACAATTAGGATCCATAGAAGCACTTCCAAATTTAGAGGACATTTATCATCAGCCAAACTAGATTTTCACACAAGGAGAATGCATAATTGTGACACAATATGATGCTAACAACCCAATAGGTTTAAAGATAATCTTGAAGTGAAATGGTAGTCAGTAAGCAATTAACAAATGCAGGTAAGTGTTTGGAGCAAATTATGAAGTGTCTTCTTGGCTTGTAATTCCCCACTCTTGGCACAAACACTGCAGTGTACTGTACAACTTTCTATAGCCAAGTAGGACTTGCATGGTGACTGGAGCAAATTCCTGTCAAAGAAGCAGAGGTTTGCCAAATCACACAAAAAGCTTGATAGTTTTATTTATTTTTATCTGTATTTGCTCTTGGCACATGATTGATTCTATTTTCAAAATGCATTTTAATTTTGAATAATATTCCACATGCAGATTGTTAGGGAAGTATTCAGAGCATAATCAGGCTCTTCCAAGCTGAGAAATAAGTCAGCTGCAGGATGAGAATTCAATTGCAACCATGGAGAGCTCACATCTCAGCCCCAGCTGTGCAAAGATCAATAGATAAATGCCAGCCAAGGACTGAAGAGAATTTTGGTTTGGAGAGTGAGAGGAGACCTGTGGAAGGGAGGAATACAGAGAAGCCCAAGGAGCACTTCTACAAAATATAGCACTTCTATACAAATATACAAATGCTACAAAATGTTTACTTCCTTTGCTACTCATGTTCTGAACAGTCTCAAATTTACAAGCTTTTAGAATTTTTTTCCCCTTCCCAGTAGAGATCTATTGACCAATCTTAGCCTAAAGAATGAGAAAAGTTGAGTGCTGAAGTTTAGAAAATATTTCAAATATCTGACATACAAAGAGTCCACCTTTGTAAAGAAACTTAAAAAGTCACAGGTAATTTTGGTTTTATACAAACAGTAGTCACAGAACGACGAAGAACTGATTTACATACTTGTTTTACATCAAACTTTCAAGATTACACGGAGAAGACAGGCAAGGGATAGTAAAGGACGAGGAGAAGGAGATTCAGTGAATAGTTGAAGTGGACATCTCTCTTCGATATCTTTATCCTCCTCTTAAGGAAGTATTCTGAGACCTGAAGCATTGACATTACCTTATGCAGAAGCCCACACCTATTTGGAATGTCTTATCATGAGCTACAATTAGATATTCTGGGAGAATATAACAGTTCATTTACTTGGATGAGAACTTTCCGCTGACTTCCCGTTGCTGTTTTGCATCTCTTTAGCACTAGTTGGACAAAAACGAAATGGAAAAAATAACAGAGTTTAAATTAATTTCTTGTTGATTCCATTTTCAGATCCTAGATTAGACTAGCATTAAAATAAAGTTACAAATACAATAAAGAAATTTATTTTTCAAAAGTGGATTTTGCTGGAATGTTAAGACTAATGAAATATTTCAGTTGGATTTAAACCAATAAGCATGTAGTTACAAAACTAGAAGTTTAGCCTTGTGATTTTAAGATAGAAACCCCTTTTGCATTTTGCCAATATTTCATCAGACACTTTATAAATCTTTCCAGTAATTTTTTTGCTGCAATGTTTGCACTGCTTCCTATTCTCCTCCTTCCTTTTCACATGCATAACTAGCACAGGAGAAAGTAATGCAATTCAGAGGGTACTGCTGTGGATTTGTTTCAAAACGCTACATTTATCCAGATATTTGACTACAATGCTACCATGGACTTCTTGGAACTTATTCTGCACAAAAGGGGGCAATAAAATTGTGCAACCTCATAGACCTCAGGGCACTGACCAGTGAGCTACGATTATATACTGAAAGGATACATTAAAAAATGTAAATTGGAAAATTAAAGATCCTTCATTTTTAATATTCAAAGTTGGACAAGTATTATTAGCAAAGTAAAGGGATTTTCACTTTGATGTTACTGAGGATTGGCTGGAAAGCTGCCTGACAGAAAGGGACCTTGGTGTACTGAGGGACAGTGAGCTGAATATGAGCCAGCAGTGTGCCAGGTGGCAAAGAAGGCCAATGGCATCCTGACTTGGATCAGGAATGGTGTGGTGAGCAGGGCTAAGGAAGTCATCGTGCCCCTGTTCTCAGCACTGATGAGGCCTCACCTCAAGTACTGTGTTCAGTTATTATACCTCAGTACAGAAAGGACATTGAGGTGCTGGAGAACGTCCAAAGAAGGGCAAGAATACTTGTGAAGGACTTGGAGAATATGCTTCATGAGGAGCAACTGAAGGAACTGGGGCTGTTTAGTTTGGGGAAAAGGAGGCTGAGGGGAGACCTTATTGCTCTTTTCCAGTACCTGAAAGGCGCTTACAGCAAGAGCGGGGTTGGTCTCTTCTCACTGGTAACAGGATAAGAGGAAATGGCCTCAAGTTGCACCAGGGTAAGTTTAGGCTGGATATCAGGAAAAACTACTTCACTGAAAGGGTTGTTAAGCACTGGAATAGAATCCCCAGGGATGTGGTTGAGTCGCCATCCCTGGATGTGCTTAAAAACCATTTGGATGTGATGCTCAGGGGCATGATTTAGCAGAGGATTATCAGAGTTAAGGTAGCTTGGTTAGGTTGCAGTTGGACTTGATCTTTAAGGTCTTTTCCAACCTGAGCAATTCTATAATTCTACGATTGCAAAGGTAAGTATGCAAATCTCTGGCATTCAGTTAAGTTCATGCTGTTGGACATCACACTACAAAAGGTCGAGATGAAAATGTAGGTTATATCAACTAAAAGGCAGTTAACAGTGCTAAGTCTAGATGCAGTTGATTTATTATTAATTTCAGCAGAAATCACATGAGCTTTTCACAATAAACCTGAAGTAGCATTCACTCAGAGGCTGAGACATTTGCTGTGACTTACAGTTGCTTGAGAACACATGAATAATGGCAACTTGAACTGCCTGCTATTTGAGTAGTGAAGGACCATCCCCTGCTTATGCTGCACTGTGCTAGAGAAAGCAGAGCTTTGGAGAATGCTGCCCTTATAGGTCTTGCAGCTTTTATCATGAAGAGCTCATTTGGATAAAGAAATAAGATTACCCAGCCCTGGAATTACCAGTAGTCAGAATGAGCGGGAGTCCATAAAACATCTCCAAGGTGGCATTTTTAAAAGGCAAAGGACATTTCAACCACAATACAAAGCTGACATACAACTATAACTACTTTTCAGTCATCTCTGAAGGAGAACCACACAAGCAAACCCTGAGTCAGCCAGTACCTTCACAGAGCAGCACTGGTGAACCTTGTACAGTTCAGGAAATGTGAACACATTTCAGTGCCACATTGGCAATGAGCAATTGAATTGAAGGCAAATGCTTGTTCGATGTTTTGGCTGAGAGAAGAGAATCACAACCTTGCAATGTAACTCTGGAAATGAAGGCAACCATCTTCCTGGAGTTTTGCATTCCTCCCCTTACTGCACAAGAATCAGTACAACAGAGACCCTTATTGCAGAACACAGCGCAAGAAGAATTTGTGCATCAGCCTAGTATTCTCTTGAGCTACCTGGTTACATCAGAGCACTCACCAGGGAGCAGATAGATGCTGCTCACCAGAAAAATCAGGATGAATCAATCATTCACTGCCCTTAGCCACAGCACTCAGGCATTGCCCACTGTGCTGTCTCCAAGGATAACAGAAACTATTTACAACAGCACTGGATTTCTCAATGCTTTTGAAATGCTGGGCATTTAAAAAAAAAAAAAAAAAGTGCTGCATCAAAATGAAAGCAAATTTATTTCTGTGAAAGTTGAACACTTACAGCAGAAATACAACTTTCCTTGTAGTTTAGCCCAAGCAAACAAGTTACAAGAAGAGGTCTGTAAGTAAAGCTCTTTGCTTTTCCCCTTCTTTGGAAAGGGGGGGAAATTGTCTTCACTGGTCATGTGTCACAGATTCAGGAGGCACCAATACAAAATGCACTGAAGTCAGAAGAAGACAAAGAGGGAAGGGAGGGAGGATATGCACACATTGTCTGGTTAGTGGAACAGTTGTCTGGGAGTCAGGAATTTAGGATTTGTTCCCCAATCCCATGCCCAGCACATTAGGGTGTTTTGGGCTAAGCTCCACATTCTGAAGCTTTGCTAGTGTTAATTTATTAAAACGACAATCAAACAAAACAAAATCCATTTACTACTACTTCTCAGTGCAGTAACTTAAAAAGTTTTATTTAAATCATGAACAATGTCAAAACCTATATCACCACCAATCCAAAATCATATAGAAGACATTTGTCTGGTATCTGAAACAGTAAAACGTGATCTCCATGTAACTTGCTTTAATCATCGTTTAAAAAAAAAACAAACATTATGAACATTCCTCATTCAGGAAGATGTAAATTGTTAATGGAAATTGTGAAACAATCTTGTTTTCATTTAAAAATTATTTGACTACCAAACTCGGAGGAAATGAAACCATTTTCAAAATAAAATTAAATTAGAACTCAGTAATTATTATTTTATGTATAACAGATAAAGTAAACTCCGTGAAATTAATCTATGCCACCATTACATGGATAATTACACTTTCATTGATCCATTAAACCCAGAATATTTTAATAACGTACTTAAAAGGTTATTATTTACTCAGTAACCATTAGCTTAGCATAGCACAGATACAGATGAAGTAAATGAAATGTCATCTGACTGCCCAGTAAAAGAGATGAATAAAACAATATTAGAATTAAGTTAGCCTGTTACGCCTATGTGCAAATGTCACTGCAGCTTGTTGAAACTCTCTGCTGTTGGTGAGTGGTGGTCATAGGGACAAAGGACTCCTGCCAAACAATTTCAGCAGACAAAGGAAAGACATCCATACGAGTACTACCAACTGAGCACTATGTGCTCAGTAGTTCCCACATAAATCCGCTGTATCCTCAGTAAAATAAATCCCCTTAGAAAAATCCTGTCTGCCACTGAACTGCACAAAATAAGCCACATATGGTACCCAAATCTTGCATCATGTGTAAGTTTGAAAGAATCCTATACTACTTATGTTCTTCAGACTTAACCCCAATTAGCAGAGACTAACTGAATAACTTACTAGCTGTAAGGTATGCCACCTCCTCCATGTACAGCAGTTGGATCCTTAAAAACTGGGGAGGTGACTACAAACTGTGTACTATAATTGCTGCAATTCCTCTTGAAAAATACCCATCACTGAAATGTTAGTCTTGTTTGAGCACTAAAAGCTTAGAAGTAATATACTAATTCATATGACATCCACACAGTGTGCTTTATTGCAAGTAGAGGAAAGCCAAACCAGGATTCACTCATAGCAAAGAAGAGCAGGTAAGGTGTAGAGAAACAGCACTACTTATCACAGACAGTAGCCAACGGAAGCATTCAAAAGCACTTGCGATGGACAATAGAGGGCCCAGCTTCCTCATATTCGTCCTTACTAATCCACATTTGCTGAAAAGTGGAGAGGGATGCCAATATTGAACCCCCAATCCAGACAGAGTATTTACGTTCTGGTGGTGCAATCATCTAGAAGAGAAGCGTGATCTGTCATAAATAAAGTGGCAAGCAGATAACGCAGTAACATCTCTTTGGATTAAATAACTAGGTGAAAGGCACTGTACCAATGCAACTCTAATGAAATAAGCCCTCTGAGAGGCAGAAAGCCTGTAAACTGCCTTCCAACTCTAGTCAATACAGATTATCATCAGCAGATGAATAAGTGGCAGCCCACAAAACATCTTACAAATGAGAAAGAATTTCAAATTTAAGAGATTAATATAATTTGATCATAAATAAACACTTCCGAGAGTGGTCCAAGGTTCATTTGTTTAAGGATAAAATAGCTCTGTAAATAAAGCAAAAAAACCCAAACACTTTGGACATACCAGCCTTGTATCCCAAGATAGATGTTAGATATTGGGCTGCCTCTTCCCCGTTTATCCAGTGCTAAAATGCATCAGCTGTTCTATGCTGTAAATACTTAACTAAATTTCAAATTCATTAGTGAATTGTTAGCCTATTACTGAAATTTCTTTCATCCTTCTCACTACTAATGGCTTTCACTGACAGCTAAACTTTGAAGTCTGTGATACTCCCAGTAACTTCTCAAATTGCCCATCTATCCATTGGCATTTTCAGCTCTTTCCTCTGTAGGTTCATCCCTGTCTCTCAAACTCCTCTTTCAATCCTGCTTTAGCTGGTTTAAGGAACAGAGGGATAAGGCTGCCTGTCCACACCCTCCTACCATCAGGACTCCTGATGCAAGACCTGAGCATTCGACTACAGACATTTTAGATTTGCTTATACGGCATAATTTTTCAACAAAAGAAGCAAGCATTAAAAATTACCTTAATCTTCATGGTACTTGGAGCCAAAGCTGTGATCTCTTTCTGCATACGGTCACCAATACCAGGATACATTGTGGTTCCTCCAGAGAGTACATTGTTGGCATATAGATCCTTGCGAATGTCAATATCACATTTCATAATGCTGTTGTATGTAGTTTCATGGATACCTGCAGACTCCATCCCTGTGTGGGAAAAAAGTTTTCATCATGTTATTTCTTTTTATTATTGTTAAAATGGAAAAGGAAAGCTCACTAGTCCAAGCTTATTTCCCTCACCTATCTCCCTTCACAAGACTCCAGAAGTTATGGAATGCCTAGGATAGGAAGGAGATTCAGGAATTCCTGAGTCCCATAGCCACATTTCTGACAATAACCATCCTTTAGCACCAACTGTAATCCTTACTACACTTCCAGTAAACAAATTCCTCTATCAAAGGGAATTTCTGTAAATCTCACTCCTGCTGCTGTTCAGATACAGAGCTTGGAGCTACATTAATGCTTGGATAGTTTGATTTTCACATAGAAGTGTGGCTAGCTTTGCTGTTCAGTACAATAGAAATAATGCCAAAGTGCCTACAGCCATTTTGCTGGGTCCTCATCAGCACAATCTGAGTGGGAAGTGGGAAATTTTTAAGAGCAGTATGATTTACCACATAAAGCGCCTACATCCACTGAGAGAATGGAAATTTTAACACTACAGCTAAAACTACTGGAAAATAAGGTTTGATTTTTATTTTTATTTTTTTTAAGATTAACTCAGATTAATATAAGAAAATGATAAACAGAAACAGCGTCTGGATCAAAAAAATCAGTGCTGCGTGGATCTAGATCAGTCAAGATAAAAAGCAGTGATCTTTCAACAGTTCTCCAAACATCAACTTAAAACTTCTACTGCGTTCATGAAAGTATGAAACAGCCTTAAAATTCTCATACTCTAAATGAACAGAGAGCTTTCTGCAGAAACTTCTAAAGAACAAAATAAACCAATAGAATCTGCACGTTTCTAAGGACAATTGAGGACAAACATTTAAGATCCTACAGCTGTGAAACCTTCCTATAGTTTCTAATAAAGCATGCTTTCTATATTGTGCTAAGGCCCTAAAAAGAGAAGTCGTGTCTCACCTATAAAGGATGGCTGGAAGAGAGTTTCTGGGCATCGGAATCTTTCATTTCCAATGGTGATGACTTGTCCATCAGGAAGTTCATAGCTCTTTTCAAGGGAGGAGGAGGAAGCAGCAGTTGCCATTTCATTTTCAAAATCTAAAGCCACATAACAAAGCTTCTCCTTTACATCCCTCACAATCTCCCGTTCCGCTGCAGAGAGTCAGTAAGTTTTTAATCAACATACAGTGCAACAGACTGAACACAGACATCCTCATGCGCAGCTCCTTAGGCCCAGGGTGGCCATACAGTCCATTGAATTCTGATCTCTCTGCCATCATAACTAAACTACTTCCCATTTGCATAACCAAATCTCTCTCATCTGCTGATGAAGATGTATTGTGTTACCAAACAATGTAAAGAAATTTTTACATTTTATGAGCCAAAACTTTGATCAAATTTCCAGAGGTTCATCTATTACCAGCTACTAACTTTGTTCCTTTGTCTGTGGAACAGATACGGTGAACTCCAACAAGCAGTTAAATTCCTCAACGACACAGGATTTCCTAACAAAGTGGTAACCATGTCCTTGAGCTCAACAGATATGCTGCAAGGCACAGCCAGAAGAATTCCATTAGCTAAGCTAGAGATATGGTTTTTGCCAGCATAATAAGACAAGTACCAGAACAAATATAAGCAAAGTGCATGCAAAATAAAGCTCATTACCAGTGGTGACAAAAGAATAGCCTCTCTCTGTAAGAATCTTCATGAGATAGTCAGTCAGATCTCTGCCTGCAAGGTCCAGCCTCATAATAGCATGAGGCAAGGCATAGCCCTCATAGATGGGTACATTGTGTGTGACACCATCCCCAGAATCCAAAACTATCCCTGAAAAGAGAAAGAAAAGGAGACGCTGGATATTTTCCACTATTATAGAGTCTCTACATTCCTCATATTCTAAAATGAATTGTGCAGCAACAAATAAAGATCCTCACCCAATTGCTTCTGTCATTTTTACATCTAAAGAGCTCACACGTGAGATGAAATTGTTAGCTCAAACTAAGCAACTGTGGCAGTGAAGAGACATGTAACATTCAGCAACTTGATTGTATTGTTCTTACTGAACAGATGCTAACAACAATAATCATATACGGAGTCTTTCATTTTAGAAGACTGCTAGCTCTTCACAGACATGAAACAGTATATAAACTGCACATAAAAATCTGTCTGCCATTAAAATAAATCATTCCACGAGGGAAAATGTAACCACGGTTTATCTGCCTGCAGATGAGTCAATTTCCTATTCAAGAATGGAAGTGAGTGTATGTTTTCCAACCAAAATGAATAAAGCATTTCTGATATATCAAAGATGTATATAAACAGTCAAATTTTGGACACGAAACAAGTATTTATAACAGGTTGTAATCCCTGCAGGCTGGTGATCTTTTCATATAGAATTATACCGTGACATCAGGCTACATAAACAGATGTCTTTTAATTTTTTTCAAAATATGTTAAGACTAAAAGACTACTAAAATGTAATTTATTGTCTTGATGTTTAATCAGATTCTAAATGGCAATAAGAACTACATGCTAATTCTAGAGCAGACTGCTAATTAACAGCAGACATCAGGTTTGGTGATAGATATTCAATACTTGCATGAAACATTTTCACTTAACCACTGGAAACTATTTATCTTGTATGGGGAATGGAGCTTCACAATAGAGACAGGTATGAAGTAAGAAGGAAAGAGCAGGCATGGAACAGCCCAGTTAAGATACAAACTGTTTCTCCATGCTGTGCAACTAAGGGCAGTATCAAGTTGTACCATCCACCTGTTCATGTTATTGAGAAGTAGCAACTTGATCATTTTAAGCAGAACAACATGAAGCCAATGCCCACACCTGCCACAAAGAGCAGAACAACCAAGAAGCATTTAAATGGCATAGTGGAAGGCATTTTGTTTCCATATAAGTATTGATTCTTCTTAATAAACAGCTGGCATGCCACAGCAAAGGAGTACGTACACGTGCAAACGAAGGACAGGCGGACAACACGGCACCCAGACAGACTCACCAGTGGTTCTTCCAGATGCATACAGAGACAGCACTGCCTGAATTGCTACATACATGGCTGGCACGTTGAATGTCTCAAACATAATCTGTAATTAAAAATTCACAAAACTTTCTCAGTTACACTTAAAAGTAACTGAAGAGACAGCAGAACTGAAGTCAGTGGATATCTTTTAATGAACCTCAGACTAGGTCAGGGTGCTACTGATAACATTCATTGAAGGCAATGACCCTGGATGACTTTCTCACCCCACTGCTGCAACAATACAGCAATCTAAAGTATTTAGATATATGTCATTAAAAAAATTAAGAAAACACAGCTGAAAACAAAGGAATATTCAACCTATTCATAGCTCAAGGAAGACCTGACCATTCCTGGCACAGCTTTTGTTCTGTCTCAGAAACTCCTCTGCTAGAGTGTTCAGATTCCTCTGGCAAACATATCTAGTGAAACACGAACTTCAGGATTCTCTTGGTGTAGCTAAAACCTCACCTGATCTGGCTTAAGCCTGTCATCTCTTTCTGTCTCCAGCAAACACTTTTTTCTCTTTATGGTAACCTTGGATATCAGAAGGTTCTTCACCAGAAGGTAGCAGGCACGGAAAAGTCTCCCCAGGGCCCCAAGTTGTTGGAGTTCAAGGAGCATCTGGACAATGTTCTCATAGAGTCTGATTTTTGGGTGGTCCATTTGGAGCCCAGAGTTGGACTCAATGAAACTTATGGGTCCTTTCCAACTTACGACATTCAACATTCTCTCATCTTGTCCCTCACATATTCTCTACCCTAAAAAGCTCCAACTCTTTTCACTTTCTATATCAGGTACTCTGCATTTTCATCAGAGCAGATGGAATATCTTTTGTTTCCGGCTAGAGCTCTGCTGAGTAAAAACATTAAAGGCTCACAGGGAAGTAGTGAAATATGGACAGCCATATGGGATTTATTCTTTCCTAAACTAATGTTACCTACCCCACACAATGCTAATCCATCATCAGTGCAGAGCCACTGGAATCAGGGAGTTACATTTAAACTTTGGATTTCATAAGCTAATGCCTTTGCCAATGAAGTCTATTTTAATGAAAAGCACACCAACAATTAAAGAATATATTAATTAGATATTTCATAGTTAATTGATGCAATGAATTTAATGCAATAAGCCTCTAAACAGGATTTATCATTACAGTGTAATGACAAAGAAACAGTCCCAGACATGTCTGCTGTATAAACTACACTTTCTGGTTGCCATAAACTAGGTCTTTCTTATGTTTTGTTGTTGTGTATTACCTCCCAGTAACGTGTGCTGCCAACTTCATTACTTAATTAGTATATTTACACTGTTGCTGAATGGATGCATAATCTTTTTATTAAATATATGCCAAATGAGTGCACAAAGGGAAGCTCAGAGCTACATTTGATTTTCCCATGTGATTTTACTTCCATACCTGTATTTAAGTCATGCTTCTATTTACATCACTAGTCAAATCTGCAATATGGACTTCTGGCCAGAAGGCTGTTCTAAAATGTACAAACTGTGGAGGTCTACTTTTGGTTCTGAGATATGCTTATTAAGTCAATTCGGGCACATCTATCTGAAAAAATATTCAGCAGAGCATTATTTCAATTTGAATACTCCTGGGCAATCCATTTTCCCAAGACAGAAGAGATCCAATTTTTAGAACAATTTTCTCCAATCCTTTGCGCTCAGAGATGCCAACCCTAAGTGATTATCTTCCATATTAAGAAAGCTGAATATCAAGGACTTTTATACCATGGCTTCCTGTATGATTCCCATGCAGAAGTGGTCTGCAGTGCAGCATTTCCCAGGGGAGAGGTGGAGTCACCATCCTTGGAGATGCTCAAGAAAAGACTAGATGTCACACTGAGTGATGTGGTGTAGAGAGGTGGCAGGCATGGTTGGACAGCCAGACTGGGTGGTCGTAGTAGTCTTTCCAGCCTTAACAATTTCATGATTCCTATCTGGTGGCCCACCATACCTGAGTCATTTTTTCACGGTTGGCCTTGGGGTTCAACGGGGCCTCGGTCAGCAGCACAGGGTGCTCCTCTGGTGCAATGCGGAGCTCATTGTAGAAAGAATGATGCCAAATCTAAAATGAAAATCACTTCAGAAAAGTGGTCAGGAAATTATTCCATTTGTCCACATAACACTACACAGGAAGCTTTTCAGATACAGTTCTAATAAATTTTCTATAGACACGTTAAAATAGAGAAAAAGCTTGCAAGAGTGAAGCTGCCAAATGCTGCTCTGTTTTTATTAACCAAAACCACTGGGTTTTTACCATATTGAACAACAGAATATGACCTACACAAGGGAGCCCCTCCTGACAGGATTCCCTGCACATATGATGGATCATCCTCTCTAAATGGAAGCACTGCTGCATTTCCAGCCCCAGCGCTCTGGTGCTGGAGCTGAGCCGAGCATTGAACTGCCAGTTCTGGAGAGATTTCTCCACTTCAAGCTGTGTGAAGGCTAAGATCCAGTTGTAAGCCATTGCCAAGGCAGTCTGTATAAATCTAATTATTTCCGCAGAAATGAAAAGTTGTTTTTGCCACAGCTATTTCATCCTGTAAGCCCTGAATCAAACTCATTCCAAGTAACTGCGTTTCTCAGTTTCTGTGAATCACTGTTGTTCAAGCTGGGAGGTGTTACCTGTACCAATAGTGCTGGCTTTGATTGTTCTCCTGACCCATCAAGACCCTTTTTGTCTGAGGACTGACTACGAGGAACTCAAGGGATTATTTTCTTGATGTCAGCTCAAAGACAGATTGTTTTGTATCATGATGAAATATTTTCTCATCTTCTCATGTAATTCTTTCCTCCATTTTTTTTTCTTGTCTCTTTAATCATATTCCAGCTTTGTCCAACCTAATGAACTTATTTCTGAGCATAAAGCATCAGCTTTGTGCTCAAGTTTACTTGATGATCTTGACTTCGTAGGTGCTTCAGATTCAGACATCAGCTGCCAAGCACTGGAATTATTTATTATGAAAGTTATCTGCCCTCAGAAAAAAAACCTCATTTCCTCTCAGTCACTTAAGTATAAATCCAGATATTTCCAGAACTGGGACTTGGGGTGCAGGCCATTTCCACTTGAAGGTTGTAGCAATTGGACAGATCAACACAATAGGGAAGGTGCTACAACAGAGGTGTGATGACAGAAAGATGGCACAATAGAAAGGTGCTATAAAGGAAGGGAAGAAGATTGCTCACCTGTATCAGAAGGTGCCAGGTTCACAGGGGAAATCTTCTCCAAGGAAGGATCTCCAAGCAGAGATCCTTCCCCGATGGCAGTCAGCCCCTTAAATGAGGTCTAAGAGAAGTGCAGCCAGGCTCTACCCCTTTCTATCACACAGCTGAACTGCCTTCACCTGTGCTCCAAGGGCTGACCAGGTCCTTACCCCAGGTGCTCAATCAACCAGGTCCTTACCCCAGGTGCTCAATCAGTGGTTCAGACCGTGACTCAACAGTTACCATACAAAGGTTTAGAAAATGAAGGCAGGAAAATGTTGAAGAAAATGAAATAATCAGTAAAAATAAAATAAAGGACAACATATGTCATATATAAGGAGAAGGAAAAAAACCACAACTTCAAATAGGAAAGAAGAAGGAGAGGAGTTGTACATCATTAACAATGCACCGAAGATTTCAACAGTACTAGCAAGGATAGACCCTGATGAAACCTCTGGCATTTTGCAGGTTTTTACTCCAAACCAGGCAGGATTAGGTGCTGCACAGACCATTAGACTTGATCTAATGATAATAATGGATAATGGTATTCCACAAGAAATGAGAATAGCCCTGTGTTAATTTCAACAGGTGACAGGAATTAAATTTAAACAGCATGCAAAACAGCTAAGAGAAATTACCGAGGAGGGATTATTCCAACACTTAAACATCTACATAGCCATCAGGGTCAGAAATCTCCCCATTCTAACGCTTCCCCTCCCATACACTCAGCATACACTCAGCATACAGCAGCTCCGTTGCTGCGTACAAATTAACGGTGATGTACAAAGCCCCGTGTTATTATCCACTAGAAAACAGAGCAGTCCCAATTTGAATATTGTGAACTGAAGCACACCAGAGGAAGAATGCTTCACTTCATTGCCCACATGTTCTGTTCCTGATTCACACAGATGCCTGGGCGCCCAGCAGCATCCCCATCCGCACTCCCCCTCACACACAAACTCATCCTTACTCATTTTCCCAGCCCAGTCTTTAGGTGACCTCCTCTTATTGTCATGCGTGCATGGCTGAGCACTACACTGTTATGCCTTTGTTCCATTTTTTTGGCACAGTCCCCAGCAATTTCCTCATTTCTTCTATAGTGTGGCATTTTTCAGTACTGTTATTTCCAAGCATGCCAAAGAAATTTGTGGTTTGGATCAGAACTGTGCAACTTGTTTTGGGAAATCCCAGGGAAAATACATAACGCTTATTTCTTTAACGTTCAAACTTTAGGAACAATGCACTTCTGAGTGCCCTTCAGCCAGAAGAGCATGTATGTGTCTGTGTATGTGCACACATACACAGAACTGTTATACAGTTTCTGTTGTACAGAAATTAGGTGGAAGATTCCCATGTGATCATATGTCTAACTGAGTTGGGGAGAATCATAATAATAATTACTTTTTTTTTTCTTTTTAATTTATTTGCAACAATCATGAAAGTTAGCAATGTGATTCTCATCTCTCCCTTCCCTCTGTCTTTCTCTCATGGTTCTTTTCTGCTATTTGTTGCTCATTTATTTGAAAACCTTTTCCACTTTCTGTCCCACTCCTTAGACTGAGCGCAACTCTGTCTGGGGGCATCTCTTCCAGCTAGGACATCTTGGGTGTTGTATGACATAAGAAAGTGATTTTGAGCTAAGAACCCACTCTCACTCATTTGGTTGATAAAGTGGAGAAAAAAAAAAAAAAAGTCGGACTACAAGAACCCATGCCTTGTCCTACCATTATATGAATTACAGCACTGCCCGAATCTCCACCAAAGAACATCCTTGGAAAACCCCTCCCCTAGCAGAGGTCATTCTAGCCATTATGCTACCCTGCAGCACTACACCATGAGACAGTAAAGCACATGCCAGTTTTTGTTTCTGTTTTTGTTTTTTTTTTTTACCATCCCCAATTTCTGTTCTTGACTGCATTTTAGATAGCCTGCTCCAGCATCAAGCATTACCCAGAAAGCAAACACCACTATGTGCTCTACACAGAACAGTTCTGGTTGCAGAGACAAACCTAGTAAACTTTTTCACCCAATGCAGAGCAGGAAAATTATCATGAAGAACAATATAATGGTGGGAATTATATTCCCACCTATTCTACACTACAGAAATGAGCAAGGTATCTTCCCAGGAAGCAGTGAAATAATGAAATGCAAATACTATGCTTCCATCTAGAGGAGTAGGTGGGCAACTCTCATCCAGACAAGAAGTTGGGACTCCCATTACTTCTGTGTTAACTTTGGTCTGTTCACCTGGTACACCCTGCACTACCAGTGTGAATTTGTGGCTGTGAGATTATATAAGAGAACACACAGCTGAGTTGTTGCTTTGCCCCTAAGCAGACACAGCACTCTCACAGATTCAGGTGCTCCCTGCAAAGACCGGGATGCATGCAATATGAGAAGGACTTCGCACAGTAAGATAGCCCTCTCCAGAACCCATCAGCAGCACTCTGCACTGCCAAGCCTGCTCTTGGCACCCTCAGCAAGGCACTGCTCAGTGCCATTCTGCTGTCCAAATGCCAGGAATGCAGTACCTGGCAGGGAATACAGCAGCTTCATCACCACACAGGCATTAAAGCTCACTGGAATCAGCAATGGGAAAACATGCTCTGCGGAAAAAGTCCCCTGCTTAGAGAGTTGGTACAGGGATGAGAAGCACAAATCTGGTCTTCAATTGGCAGCAAGTGCATTCTATGCAATACAAAACACGTGCATCATCCGTGCTCACATAGGCAAGAATTGAGGAGGGAAAATCATCCACTACCTCACAGGTTTCAATCCCAACTGAAATAACCTTCCTTCGTGTTTCTGTTACACCTCTGATGAACTGCAACTCCAACTTTAGCCAATTCCGATCACATCATACCAAGTTCTGTCTCAGTTCGAACTTCAAGACTAAATATATGTATAAAATATTTGTCTAACATGCCACAAATACCTGAAGAAAAACATTTACTTTTTAAAACGTCTCCAGCAGTGCTAAGGCCTGATCAGCACTGGACTCCTGTACAGGCACACAGCACCATCCTTTCAGCTATACTGAGATTTCCTCAAGGATTCTTTCAAGAACTTCCTTTGATTTGCAAGGAAGATAACGTCAAACTCTGTGTTTTTGATGACGCTTTAAGAAAATTATATTAAAAGTAAACACCCACCTTTTCCATGTCATCCCAATTGGTGATGATTCCATGCTCAATGGGATACTTCAGCGTCAGGATCCCTCTTTTGCTTTGAGCTTCATCCCCTACATAGCTGTCTTTTTGACCCATTCCAACCATAACACCCTGCAAAGTATATTGTTCCTCTATTAGTGTGGCGTACCTTGCACAGTAAAAAGAATATGGCCTAAATCTCATGTGAAACAATGTACTCCACAAAGCCAAACTAAAATGCAAATTTATTGCTAACCACTGACCGTACCAACTAGCTCAATAAACTCTCCAGAAAGCCTAACACAGCTTCAGAAATGAAGCTGGGGATCTTGCACCGCACACAGAGAATGCCTGCATAGAAGCAATGTCTAGGAAGGCATCAGTAAACCCATGGTATCTCCAGGAGAGATGGGTCCTTCAACATTGCAAAGAAACACTTGAAATGAATTGCAGATGAAAGAGAACCTGGTTTTGACTCCAAAGATCTGCTTCTTATATTTGCTTGCACCTTGGGTCTAAGCAGTTCCACTACTGCCTTTAAATGGTGAGATCGCTCCTTTTCAGAAGACCAGTTTACAACACAGGTAAAGGATAAACATTCAACTTTGAAATTTACATTAATTAATGCTCTTTTGTGAAACATAAAAGAGATTTTGCAAAAGAAAATGAACACGTTGAATAATAGTTTTATTAATTTCATCATGTTTGCATTAGGAAGTCTATCATTCTTTCTCTAAATATAACAAGACATTCGGTACAATATTATTCAGCAAATAGTAAAAAATATATTGAATTTTGTCATGGATTGTAACGCAGCCACTGAGATGTTTCACTGTGCAAAATGACATGCCAGCTCCAATCATGATTAAAAGCCAGTGAACAATTCCAGAGGTTAAAGAATGGACATGCTTTCAACAACTGACATTTAAACTTCAATAACTCATAGAGGTGTTCAAAACACATTCATTAAAAAGCTTAATATTTTATGCCTGTCTAAACAGGCTTATTCAACTTGGCAAAAGAACACAGAGAACTTCAGGGAAGGGGTTAGACACCTCAGAAAATTAAAATCTAACTCGGATAAGAACAAAATCAGTGAAAACTGGCAACTTCTAATTCTAAAGGAACTGTTAGAAAAGTAATTAAGCAAGCAAGACCTTTTTCAAGTTCAAGAAAAATCACATTTATCCTTTCTAGTCCTGCTGGAGTTGATTAAGTGATGCACCGGAGATATTTTTCAGACATTTAATGGGCCCTGCTTTTGTTTAATGGAACAATAAAAGGACTTTACCACTGCCATTCATATGGTTTCTTGTGTTAGCAGCGTTCTTCCTTTTTTGTTTGTGTTGATACAGCAACTTTTGTGGTTTTTTTCCCATAAGACACCTCCACATCATTAAAACATTCATGTTCTTCTACAGTCAACATTTTATAGTTGAAGAATACCTTTTCCAAAGGACTCGGAAGCTCACTGCATAAAAGATATGCAGCTCAACTACCTGGTTCTTAACAAGCTCAATTCCCACAAACACGAATGGGAGATTTGCCTGAATAATCCTTTATCACTTCCACAAGTCTCACAAATACGAGCAGGCAGCACTTCCATTCTGGTACCAACAGACCTGATGTCGAGGGCGTCCAACAATGGATGGAAACACGGCTCTTGGAGCATCATCTCCTGCAAATCCAGCTTTGCAAAGACCAGACCCATTGTCACAAACAAGGGCAGTGGTTTCATCATCATCACACATAGTGCCTCAGTTTGGGCTGTAAAACAGTAATTTGAAAGAGCTTGGAGGAGTAGATGGAAGGGAATGAGACAGAAACAATTCTTCATCTTTTAGATAGCCTACTGCTGTAAAGAAAAATTATTTTAGAAAACAGCAAAACTAAATACCAAAGTCCATGCTAAAGCCTCAGTTCTGGAAAACACACTAAGTATCCATATAAATTTTGGCTGAATGAATTTTAGTGAGCCAAGTTCGCAAGGATATTCAGCCTCCATTTCCAAAAGGGAAATCTCCGATATCCCTGTCATTCTCTATTAACTGACTTGGTGATCACAGGAGGGGCTCAGCTAATGGATACACACTCAGCTCTACGTGGACTTCTGCAAGCGTAACTCCATCTCTTCCAATGCTAAATTACCTTCTAGAAATTACATTTATTAAAAATGAATCAATCATATGCACCCACCAGTTATAACATAAGTGCTTTAAGATCTCCTGAACATTAACTCTTTCAAATGCTGCCTTTGTTCCCTAAAGGTATTTTTGCCTTTTTCTCAGAGGGCCATGATCAATTTGAAGAAACAACTAAAAATAACCCCCACAAACACTTTCAGGAAAGTATTGGCTGTGTTTTTAAATGACAGCTACTCTGTAACATTAAGTGCTGGCTAGAGGACCTGTTCCATACTTGTAATGGTAAATATCTTATCAAGGAAGCTATTCTGGGACATAGAACAAGCTGTGGCTGGCACAGCTGGCCAAAATCAACAAAACTGCAGCAGTTGGCCAACACATCAAAGTCCTGAATTCACTGAAATCCATGGCAGAACTCCCACCGAGGGAGGGCCCAAATTTCACCAAGACTTCTCTTTTGGACTCCTTGTTTATTTTTAGGGCTGTAAGACTGCCTGTTTAGGCAGTCAAGAGAGAAGTATTGCACTTTTCCTTTTCTGGCAACTTCATTCGGTGAGGAAGAGGACTTTAAGAACAAAAAAGGAACGAACAAGAAAACAGAACTTCTCCCACTAAGTTTCCATCTGTCTGATCTGTGGAGCTTAAAACAGCCTCATGCTCTTCAGACGGCCACTGCAACAATACTGAAGTCCTCGGATATTTAAAACCAAGGTTTTCTCACAACAGACAATGACTGTGCAGAGATAGGATACTCTGCCCCTTCTGCATCAAAAAAATAATGAAGTCCCTGGTGTTCACTCCTTCACCATGGGCTTTATGGAGTAAGACCACAACACGATTGATCAGAACACTGCCAGATGAAATGGATGTATAATTTAATACATGATAATGCAGTATTATAAAATAACAATAATCTCTTTGATTGACGTTGATATGCATGTGACTGGAAGATTCCTTTGCTCATAAAGAAGCTGAATATTTCTAGCACGTATGTTTGCCAATAGTTTTAATTTAGGAATGTTTAAACATTAGTTCCAGCAGGTGTATTTGTGAATCTTCATTCACACTGCCACAAGCCATTACTTACTTCCGAAATCCTAACGAAAAGCCTTTGAGAATGCAATAAACTAACCATCTTCCAGCATTATCCAGCTTTACAGAACTGTACCCAGACTTCGATTCCAATGTGAATCTGAATCAAAGGAACTTCAGTTCCTAAATACAAGAACTACATCAGGTGAAACGCTACAATTTCAAAACAGAGAAATTATAAGTATAGAGATTCTTCGCAGCTCTGACAGTACAGCACTGATCATTGGTTCCAAAGGCTGGATACAGCAAAGATGCTTAATCCCCAAGGAGAAAAAATAATATTCCCATTCACTCTCATGCACAGCATTTTATGTGCAACTGTGAATGGAAAAATGTCAGTTACAACCATCCTCAGAGAAAAAAAAATCACAGTGAAACCTTAGATCATCTTTACAAGCTAGGCTTCAGAGTGCCAGCAGTTATTCAGTTGGTACTTTTACTCAATATTAGTTAGACAACTCATTGAAACTTATTAATAAAATCAATGGCTGAATTTGTTCATTTCATGCTTAAAAACAATAGCAATGACCTTGCTATGCTTATCATTACTTAGTCATAAGGTAAATGTTAAAAGAGTACTACTTAAATACACAAATACCTTCAGTGACAGTCATGTTATTGCTTTGAAGCTGCTGGTTTTATGTTTAATAAACAGATAACTTCCTATTTGTTTCTACTGGTTTCTGCATAATGCCTGATGTTCAGAGAACACTATTAAAGTTCTAAATTGTATAGCATGTTCTGCATTTTGTATGCATATTTAGCACGGGCCAAATAAAAGTCCTTATTGTCCGTGCTGTTCTAGGATTGACAAAGAACAGATGCCTGAACCATCTAATTCCCTCAAACTGTTGAGCCTCCATGTCTTTTGAATGCCTTCCCCACATCCATCCTACCCTGCCCCTCAGTCAGTTGACCAAATGTAGGTAACACTGAAATTAATACAGCCATCCACTCTTAAGACAGCACTCCTTCTGTAAAATACGAAGCGTTTAGTTCTTTAGTACAAAATGCTGTGAGAGAACTAAATGTGATGGAATACATTCACCTTGTGCTTCATCCTGGTTTGTGTCATAGCTACTCATAACTATCTGTTCAGCTTGTATACAGATCCCTCTAGTCTTCAGACAAAGAAAGTTCCACTGTACACCACTGATCTTTCCAGTGATGAGGGATATCTACATCTCCTTACAATCATGCAGTCAAACCTGAACTGCCTTACATTAGGAGTCCTTCTGGAATTCCTTCAATGGCTAAGGCAAAGCAGTATCCAGGACCACATTTTGGAAATAAGTAAGTGTACACATACCTCCAGAAGATCTCGAACCAAGTGAAAACAAGCGTTAAAATCATCAGCTGCTAACAGGTGAAACTCTCAGGGTGTGCTTACCTGGGAAATGGTGACGATCTGTAAAAGCACCTTCGTAAATGAAGTGATCTCATCTTCCATTACATTTATAACAGCTTCAGGAAAGGAGTTCACAGAACATCTACGTGAGTCAAGCCATTTTTGGAAACCTTTTTTTCAGTTTGTGCTTATCGCTGTGACAGCATAAAGGCCTAGATAAATTAGGGCAGGACTTCCATTCCCTCTGTATCCCCTCCCCCTTGCTAACTTGCTATGCCTCGTGAGAAAGGATTTTTATTTTCATTAATAACCCCCCTTTTTGAGACAAAAGCCCTCACACCAGATGTGCAAGACAGGAAGGTTTTGTGGTCCACTGTTGTCACTAGAAACCATTCTACTTCTTTTAACACAAATACCTAAGAATAGCTCATTATCATCCTTGTTAGCAGCCATCCTGAAGCAGGAGAAGTCTTACCACAAACAGTTCTCACGTTTCAACTGTACTTGATGTTTGTTTGTATGGTGCAAAGACTGAAAATAGCTGACTTATCTCAGAATTTCAGTGACACTGTGGCTTAAAACAGGGACTGAATCAGCAATAAGCCATTCAAAAGAGGTGAGTGGTAACTATTTCACACACACACACACAAAAAGACATCAACTACACCGGAATACATTGGATTAATATAGGAATCTAGACCATTAGTAGACTAGAAATATTACAGAATCCTCATAAGAAGAAAGTTCCCAAGCTTTACCTTAGTTCCTAGATAATTAAGGCCAGTGATAATTCCCATTCCACATCACAAAAGCAAACAATGCAGAACTTTAGATAAAATTTAGTAAATGTTAACCCTGCCAACATCAACTCTCAACCAATGGCTCTCTCTCTCACCATGTGACCATGCACAGCAGAAGACAGCATGTACAAAAATCCTTGTAATACAGGCAGATAATTCACTTCATGAACACCCAAGTCAATTTTGTAAAACTGATGGAAGCCTTCAATTTTCATATGCATTATCTTTTCCCACAATATTTTAGTCTGATTAATAGGAAAACAAATGGCCATTTCTTTTTGTGACTTTATGTCTACTCTCTTAGACTTGGCTCGTTTTGAATGCATCTCCATTTTATACAGGCACGAACGGAAACACAGAACAAACAATAAACAGTACCAGTAGTAAAAACAACATTCTAGCTTCTACTGGCCATAGCCTTCACAAATAAGCTGGTTTTGGAATCAGAGAAATAGCTGTGAAGTTTCAGAGATCGTTATAACAAAATACAGGAGTATCAATATAAAAGGCACAATGCTCCACTACATACCTACAGAAACTGAGTGCAAATCACCTGCTTTTTATAGCCTCCCAGTTAAAAATGCAAACTCTCCTCGTTCGTAATTCAAAGTATGTAAAATATGTAAGACTGTAGGTTTATAAGCCTGAAGTTCATCTGCTGAGCAGCTAAGTAACATTTGGCCCCAAGACATACATAAACCCATCAAGACTACGAGGAGTGGAAGTAAATTTAAACACGTGAAAAGTTACAGAAATTGCACCTCTGAAACAACAATAAAGGAACATAGGATGCTTAAGACATTTCTTCACGCCAATTCCCCAGTCTTGACTGAAGCTTATACTTCACCTTACCACATTACCACATACAGACCTGTGTACCCTGAAACAGCCAACGCAAACTATAAAGGCTTAATATGGCCAAAGAACATTGACTTAAGCTTATTTTTTGAATGAAAATAAGAGGAAATTAAAATCCAGTTCTTCTTTCTTTATTGCACTCTTGTAGAACTTCCTGTTGTAACCAAGAAGCCAATAAACAGTAATAGCTGAATATTCCTTCAAAATGTATAGTTCAACTCTTAAAATAAAATTTATTTAGAAAAGATATCATTTACAACCCATTCAGTAGTAATCATTCATTATGTACTCACAAGCAATATTAAATAACTAGTATGCAGCAGTTTCTTTATAGGGCAAACGAGGGCAATATTTTCTCCTTAGCAAATATAATACCCCACTGTTAAAGAGCAATTCAAGTCAACTTTGGGACAACTGTGATATACACAAATTTCTTACAAGAAGCTGAAGATTCATATAGTGTAACAAGAATATATACAACTGTGTCCAGTGCATAGCTTTACAGCAGCATGTGAAAAATCTATTATCTTGAATTGGCACACCATTACCTATAAGAAAATAATTTACTCAGAAAATGCAGTGTATTCAGAGAACACCAGTGAGGCACAATAAAACAATAAGATGTAGTGTAACCAGGTATGTAAGGAATAAATAACGGGATTTTGCTCTGGAGGTCAGCAGCTTAGAACAGGTAAGACTTCGTCCTCGAAGCCATCTTCTGAAGGAAAGGGCTCCTCTTTTCACCTGGTTAGGAAACAAAGTGTTCATAAATACCTAAGAAGCAACTCCATTGTAACCTAGACATCTCTGGCACCGTAAACCTTCTAACTCTGATGCAGCAACAGATGTCACACCATGGGACTTAAACATGATTTAAAGATAAAAGAACAGCATTAACAAAAGGGGAGTAAGAATGAACACAAAGTATTTGTATATTATGTAATTACATATGCATACTAGAGACAAAAACATATAATTACATGCATATAAACTGTATTTAATGGCCCGATATGCAACAGAATTAAACTTATAGATCTCTGATATTTTGGTTTGAACATACGTAATGTGGCACGTTTTACACAGCTATCTATATTTGATTTACCATCCACAACCCAGGACAGAAATAAATTTTTTCATTACTTTGCTATGTTGAATGGACCCCTCTGTAGCCAACACACCCATGATATGTAACACAATTAAAAGAATGTTTCAATCAGCTTTTTGGATTAATGGCAGATTAAACAAGTAGCTGCTTCGTGCCAGCATTTACATACAAAGAGGATAATCTACAGTCAGCAATTCCCAGAAATTCAAAAGGGAAATCTGCACTTGAAGAATGAATGAAAGACAGAGAGGTAAAGAAGAAGAAGACCAAAGAAAGGAAGAGTAGCATGAAAGAAAATACTGAACCATGATGCCTTCAGTGCTACCTGCAATTAACAATATACAACATGTGTACCACTTAGGCAGTTTATAATCTGGGCTTTTTAGAAGCTTTTTATTTACTTACCTTTCTTACAGTAATATGTTCACTAGGATTGATGATTAAGGCTTCCCTTTCCCCCTCGGTTTCCATCCTAACAGTGTATTCGCTAGGTACAGGCCTGTAACTACTGACTTCAAATCTAGAGAAAAGTTAGACAATGGAATACTGAATTACCTGCTCTTCCAAAATACCAAATTTACATTAAAAAACAAACAAACAAACAACAACACAACACTTTATACATTTAAATTGCTGCAAGGAGCTTCCCATAAAAAGCAGTAAGACTTAGAGACTTACGACAACATAAGCTATTTGCAAACTACTCTCAAGGTGTTATTTATTCTAAATAATCCTCATCATTGTTAGCTGGTTAAATAGTAATTTTCAGATTACAGTAGTAATGAAGATTTTAATTGGGCAAATGACTTGTGATATTTTAAATCTAACCCATGCCTGTACTAAAGTTTCAGTATGTATATTTCTTCTAACTTGGCAAAAATAACACCGAGTCATTCAGAAGCAGGAGATTAACTAAAAATAAGAACAATAAAAATCAAAGGCCCTTAACATTTTCTTGATCCACAGAGTTAGAACTAGATTTTTAACAGTCACACATGCATTTTTTTTATTGCTACAGGTTCTACACTTACAGTTTCTATTCTATTACCAGAAATCTAACATCAACAGGAAAAATCATCACTAAAAATAAAAGGCAAATAAAAAAAAAAATCGGACAGTTTTTCAGTTCTGTAGTACACTTTGCATTTATTCTAGGCTACTGTAAATGAAAACCTCAGGATGAACCTATTCAAAAAGAAGCTGAGCCACAAGAGGAAGAAAGAAGAGGAAAGAGGTTTAAGCTCTCCGAATATGCAGGTTTTTTCATACTTGCATAAGGGTTTAAATTTAACAATCCATCATATACCTTCAAAAGAAAAAAACAAAAACGTTTCACAGTACAGTACAGTTTACCTGTTACTTAGCTCTTCAGAGAGTCCAAGAGCTTCTTCTGCAGCTTCTCTCCTTCTCTTTTCTTCTGCCAGTGTTTGTGTCAGTTGTGAGAGAGCCTGCTGCACTGAATCATATTGTTGCTCAGTGTCTGCAAGCCTATAAATAAAATGAAAAATGAAATCAATATTTTTATGTACTGAAATAATCAATTCATTGTTCTTTTTTTTTTATTTAGGAATGTTCTGTTTGGGGATAAGGACACAACTTTAATGAGCCTCGTTAGATTAGATTTGGAGATACTGAAATAAAACCAAATAATATTGTAAGAATATGACTGACACATTTAATGTACTGTAAATCCACATCCTTCCCTTTTCCCCAAAGAGAGAGAAAAGCATTACTTATGCACTTACAATACAGCTGTTAGAAAAACAATATTGCTAATACACACTCTTCAATTCTGACCTTTTTCTGAGTTCATTTAGCTCCATATTGTCTATTTCAACAATAACTGCAGATCTTTCCTGTGGTGCTCCAGGGGGAACTTCTGCTCTAGTTTCATCCTATTAGAAGGGGAAAAAGCTAGTCACAATTTTTGTAGTCGTAAAAAAATCTTTATTCAGTTAAAGAAGCCATGAGCAACACACAACAGGGGAACAGAACTCTCTTGTGTCATTCAATCATTAAATTTCCAAAACCACAATTTTACAAAACTAAGTCTTCTAATTAAAAAATGACAACTGCCTCTGTGTGCTGCTGGATTTGGAAGATGCATGTATGCAGTACAACACAGCAATCTGTCTGCTATGTCTGCAGTGCAAGAAATACATCTACAAATGCACACAGTAACATAACATACTGAGCACAGTTTCCTTAATAGCATAGCTATTCTTCTACTATCAAAATCTGAGACAAAATATCTGTAGCATATCAAGCCATACAGACAAGCCAGTTCAAACAGAGGCAGCAGAAAAGTTCTACACAGTATTGTATTCTTTTTCTCACATTTGTGAACTCTAGACACAGAACACCCCATTATATTTTGTCCCCTTATGATAACATCTGAATATTTGGATTAGTTACTTAGCTCTAGCTTCACAGCTTGTTGCTAAGGTGTAACACAAACAGCAGAACAGAAATACTTGTATATTCAATAAGATGCAGTGATGCACAGGTTAGGATCACCACCTGGACTGACACTGAATAAACGCTTGGGAGTAGATGGCTATGTGTACTTGCAGAACAGGTGACAATGTGAGACTGAATAAAGTAGGTCTCCCTTTTATTTTCTCCCAGATAGACTATGACTAACATAAAGCAATGTTTAAATTCAGAGCTTTAGGTAGTGCAGAAGCACCGAGAACTGCACTTAAGCAGCCTCATGCTTTGTAAACAACATGTGAAGGAAAGGGAACCTGAATCTTCCGTAAGAAGTAGAGATTTAATTTCTTTTTCAGTATACAGTTCTCCCCATTATTTTTGTTTCTAGAAAGGGCTTATATATGAATCCACATAATATTTTAGGGTCTTCCATTTATCAGTCATTACTTACTAAGAAAGGTAGCAGAGGAAAACATTTTAGAAATGAAGGGACCACAAAGAGATAAGCTTACATGTGTATGATGGTTTGTAAGGGGTACTGAGATGCTGAACTGATTAAATAGATCTGATTTCCCAAAATATTACAAATAACTTTGCAAAATGGTTTGTGACTGCTGTGAAACTATCACTGAATCTTGCTAATCCACTGATTGGTGATCATCCAATTATCCTGCCAGTTGTGGCCAATTCAAAAAAGATGATGCTTCAAAATGAAAATAGCATCTGTAAAGAGCTTCCTGAAAAATCTAATTAAAAAACCAGCTTTATAAAAAAAGTTATCTTAAAAGGTATCATAGACTATTGTATCAACAAAACAATTAAAAAACAGTAAGTAAATGCTTTTTAAGTATTTATTTTTGTTTAGCACAAAAGCCAGCAAAAACACGAGTATAAAAAGAGCCCTAAGAATTTTCTCTGTGTTCATTTACCTGAACGGTGCCCTGGAAGGATGTCACCTGCATTGTTTGATATTCCCTCTCCAGTCTTAAGTAACGATTCTGCAAATCAGTGTAACGAAGCTGGTTATCCCTTAGAGTCTGAGATAGAGTTTTCAGCTGGGCAGACAACACAGCATTCTCTTCTGCTGACTGCAGATTCTGAAAGAAATTATCATTTAAATTATTCAAAAAACACAATAAAGCAAACACAAAAACTACATCATCCAGGAAATTACTAGACATGAGATCTGTTGTTGAAAGTTTGAAAGTAACTGCATACTATTTTCAGTATTGCATCCACTTTTTGGCAAGGTCAGCTTAGTAAGATTTAACTAGTTGTTTTATGAGAAGTAGAAGTAACAAAATGTTCAAACAAAAACAGAAAGAGTATTGTCTCTGTAATCAATAACTCAAAACAGTAACTCCAGGAATAAAGATGTTCATCAGGAAGTTGAGGTATGTAAAAGCAGTCAACTTTTAATATTTTCAATAACAAAACAGCAATACAGCTCTTCACCCTTTCCCAAATATTCACCTTCACCTGTAGGTTG